GAAAATGTTGATATCCAAGTTAGCCCTGGAATTTAATGAGAGATCTTAATTTTTATTTAAGCTAAAAGTAGTATATTCAAACATTCAAAGAGGCAATGTTTACTTCCACTTGTATATCTATATCTGTAAATACAGATGCAAATACATATGCAGATATACAGATACATATAAATATATACATATCAGTGAATATGTTTGTGCTCATATGTTTGTTTATGTTTATTATACATGCATGCATAAGTATGTAGATATAGATATAGATGTGTGTGTGTATACATATACATATATATACATATACGTATATATATATATATATATATATATATATATATATATATATATATATATATATATATATATATATATATATATATATATATATATATATATATATATGTATATATATGTATATATATGTATATATATGTATATATATGTATATGTATATATATATATATATATATATATATATATATATATATATATATATATATATATATATATATATATATATATATATATGTATATGTATATGTATATGTATATGTATATGTATATGTATATGTATATGTATATGTATATGTATATATATATATATATATATATATATATATATATATATATATATATATATAGTATATATATTATATATATATATATATATATATATATATATATATATATATATATATATATATATATATATATGTATATATATGTATATATATGTATATATATGTATATATATGTATATATATGTATATATATGTATATATATGTATATATATGTATATATATGTATATATATGTATATATATGTATATATATGTATATATATGTATATATATGTATATATATGTATATATATGTATATATATGTATATATATGTATATATATGTATATATATGTATATATATGTATATATATGTATATATATGTATATATATGTATATATATGTATATATATGTATATATATGTATATATATGTATATATATGTATATATATGTATATATATGTATATATATGTATATATATGTATATATATGTATATATATGTATATATATGTATATATATGTATATATATGTATATATATGTATATATATGTATATATATGTATATATATGTATATATATGTATATATATATATATATGTACATACACATACACACATATATATACATAGATAGATAGGTAGATAGAGAGAGAAACAGAGAGATAAATTGGTAGGGATAGACAAGACAAATACTTAAAAAGATACATGTACCAATCTATCACCTTACCTACCAGTCCATTTATTTAACTTACTAACTTAGAATTTATTCATGTATCCAATTAATTATGAATAAAAAAGAAAAAAGAAACATGCATCTACTGATACAATATCAAAGGAGGTTGAATTCATACACACAAAGCATCAAATATCAAATTATATACAACCTTAACAGTTGCAATCTAAACTCACCATTACATGCATCATCTAGGTCGTGTCTTGTAAAGGAGAGAACTTTTTCAGACACAGCACACGTATGGAACTGCATCCGGAAAATCACTTCTCTGGATGCTGGTACAAGTCTTCTGTGATATGCTTTTAACAGGATGTCTCCTCGCAGTTGTACTCCCGTTTCAAAAGCTATCGTGACTTGCCTCATTTGCTCAGTAAGATTATATATCCCTGATGTGTATATTGGTGTCATTCCTTGGTAGATCTGAAATTAGAAGAACAAAGGAAGTTGCATATGAATTTCTAGTATATATCCTGCTGAAATACATCCCTTTAATAAATAAATTCCAAGGTATTCATTGTCTATTACATTAATTATTGTTATTAACTTTCTTTTTTAACGAGAAGCCCCTGATTGAGGTTGTGTTTATCACTTTAGAAAAATAATATCCCAAGTTAAGGTACATCTACAGTTAATACAGAAAAAGTTTGTTGATTTTAGTTTATTGTTTACTTTTTGTGTGCTATTTCTTAGAATTAATCAAAGCAAAAGTGTTTTTTTAATCACACATCAAAACTCCCTCTACTACAAAGAGAATCACTAAATAACAACTTGTTAATTTATTTTCTCTTCCTTCTCTACACACAAATGTTTTTTTTTTTTTTTTTCATTAACCCTTCCTCTTTTCCTAAACCAACAGCACATCTAACCCTCATTATATGCAAGCATCTCCCTTGCACAAAACAAATGTTGTACATTTTTGGTACTCCCACTTGCTCTCTTCTCCTACTCAAGTCCCACTCCACTTCAATAAAGAAGAGGTGATTCAATTCGCCTCCTTCAAATACTCTTTCAAAACTACTTTCCCTTGAGACGATAGAATGCTGCTGCTGCGATCATAGGCCAATATTGCCATGGAATTCTGAAGAGTGACTGAAGGTACACCATATGGGATTGTAAAATACCACAATATACATTAAACTCCATCAACGTTACACATCAGCGTTTCATGCCATCTAATATTCAGAGAATTGCATCTTGTACTTGGAAATG